CTTGCTGGCACGATCCACTGAGGTTCAACCTTTTGTCACTTTGATTCGTCCCTTCCCCCGCCAACCTTCCTTCTTTTCACTCTGCCCCCTTCCGGGGTTGGGTGTGACCCGGGCCCCCGTCTCCCGATCCCGATCAGAACGAACTCTGCTCACCCCGATCAACCCCTGAATTTTTATTTTGGCACCAAACCGATCGCTAGGGGCGGGATGCGTAAGCCGACCAAGGATCCCGCTACTGGTCCCCCTCAGTTGTTGCCCCAAATGTCGTCGATGGCCTCTGGCCCTTGGTTGGTCAAGATCGGGAATGCATTACGTATGCCTAAGTCAACCCACGAAATGAGCATGCGGGTGCTCAACCGACAGGAGAGCCAAACTGCGCAAGCCGAGGATTGGCCCGATCCCCCTCTGCATGCTGTCGATCTCGCTGTAGGTCCCTCAGTCCAGTTGGGGCTTAGACCGGGAATGAACTCCGTATGCCTAAGTTAACCCATGAAATGAGCATTCGGGCGCTCAATCAACCGGAGAGGCAGGATGTGCAAGCCGAGGATCGACCCGATCCCCCTCTGGGTGTTGCTGCCGATCCTACTGCCTGTCCGATCTTAGACTGTGAATGACCTCCGTATGCTTAGACTGGGAATGAACTCCGTATGCCTAAGTCAACCCATGAAACGAGCGTGCGGGCGCTGAGTCAGCCAGAGAGGCATAATACGTAAGCCGAGGATCGGCTCGATCCCCCTTTGCGTGCTACCGATCCCGCTGTCGATCCTGCTGCCACAACCCTCGATCTGATTGGGGTTTAGACATGGAATGAACTTCGTATGCCTAAGCCAACCCATGAAACGAGCGTGCGGGCGCTCAGTCGGTCGGAGAGGCAGAATCGCAAGCTGGGGATCGACCCAGTCCCCCCGGCGTGCTGTCGATCCTGCTGTCGCAACCCTCGGTCTGGTCCATATGCTTAGACTAGGAATGAACTCCGTATGCCTAAGTCAACCCACAAAATAAGCGTGCGGGCGCTCAGCCGGCAAGAGAGGCAAAATGCGCAAGCCGGGGATCGACCCGGCGCTCCTCTGCGTGCTGCCAATCTCGCTGCGGGTCTTGCTACTGCAACCCTCAATTCGATCCGATCTTAGACTGAGAATGAACTCCGTATGCCTAAGTCAACCTATGAAATGAGCGGGCGGGCACTACGCCGACCAAAGAGGCGGGATGCGCAAGCCGTGTATCGATCGGGTGGTAGGTGCATTTAGGCACATCTTTATATTTCCGCCATGCCAATACCATTTTTATGGCTTGTAAATTCATACAATGGTCCCCTAAGCCTTCATGTGAAGTCTCATGGCAAGACGACTCGTTTTCTATTTTTCATGATTTTTGAAACTTTTTGGGGTTCGGGATTTTTTAAAATTTTTTAGAAGGATTTGGCCCAAATTTGGTAGACGTAATCCTTGTATTTTTTTTGGCATGCACACAAAATTTCACCTAAAAACTCGAAGTGGATAAGATTTTGTGACCATTTGAAAAAAGTGTCCCCATTTCAGACACTTGAATGGCTACTGGTAGCAAAACTATAAAATCTCAAATGCTCTTTAAGGGGGTGTGAGTTCTTGAGGTTTGATGAGGGATAATGGGCTAATATAAGGGCCAAGTACCAGCACCCATTGCACATCATGTGCACACACCCCCGACCCCCCAATCACCGGAACCCCCAATGCTGCCAGTCAGGTTGTCCGACAATGATGCCCGAGCGAAAAAAATGCAGCACCAACACATGCTCGAGCCCAGCATGTGCACCGTGGCTCAAAATCGAACTTTGGCCAAGGCCTCGACCATCAATGGCAGATGATGGTGCATGGTGATGGTATCACGGGCTCTAACCTTAAACTCAAAATCCGTGCGGCCTTAGGCTTGGAATCTCCTCCTTTATGCCTAAGTCAGCCTAAAACACAAGCGTGCGGGCACTAGAACAGTGGGAAGGGCTGATTACACAAGTTAAAGAGAAATAGGATAACAAGATAGAATGCTGGAATATGCTGTATATTCACTGAAATAGAAGTGTTTGATGGTGTATAAATGAGGGTGGAGTAGCCCTCTATTTATAGTTGAGGCTCCAGCTACACTTAATGGCAATATCCCTAGAATAAAGGCTAAAATCATGGGATTATATAGATTACAATCAATCAGGATTATAACTCCTAATTTCTAGGGTCAACCAAATCTGCCTGCTGATCCTGCATTCTTCCAGAAGCTTCCCTTGAGTGTCCAGCACCTTAGGCCCTTCTGGATGTGCTATGGGCAGCTTATATGCCAGGCTTTGGCCTCATGGGCTGGCTTGCAAGCTTGGTGGGTGTTCTGACCTCATCTCCTAGACCTTGCACGCAAATACCTGCTAGTGCACCTGGTCTGGGAGCCTCAACCTCTGGCTCACTAGTTGGTGCACTTAATGAGCCTGGCGCGGCCGCCCAGGGTGTGACATTCTCCCTCACCTGATTGCTCAACGCCATCATTGCATCTTCTGTATGGTACTACTTGATCTGGTCCCTGAACTATCATAAGTCCTCTACTGGTTCCCAACTCACCTCACTATCTGAAAGTCTCTTCCAG